CGCATCGCGTGCGTCAGGTTGCCGAGGTCGCAGTACTCAATCACCTTGGGGGTGGCCGCGGAAGGCGAAGGGGCGCGGGAGCGCGGGTTGGGGGGAGAGAAGGGCGGACGTTGGGGGGGCAACGATTGCAAACTGCGCTGAATTGCCACAGACGAGCGCACTGCGTGCGCCCGGCCCTTTCTCGCCGCCAAACAAAGGACCCTGCAAACTCGATCACCACGTTCGCAACGAGAGCCCCGTGCCCTGCCAGCCCCCCGCGCCGCCGCGGCACTGCCCAGCGCGTGAACGGTCATCCCAGCGTCTCGCCCCACTCTGCTCACGCTCAAAGAGCGCACGCGCGCCTGTCTGCCCCGCCAGTCTCCACTGCCCTTCTGCCGCGCCCCCTCCCCGCCACGCCGGCTGCCCCTGCCCGCCGCACCCCGCACTTGTGGGTGCCACACCACCCTTCTCTTAGACGCGCGCCCCCGCCGTCCCCCACCACCACCATCACCGTCACCGCCACCGCACCCCACCCTGGGGCGCGCCGCGCACCTCTATGTGGCACCCGGCGTCCTCCGACGGCCCGCAGCCGTTGGCGCCGCCCGCCGTGAGGCAGCCGGCCAGCTCGGCGCGCGACTGCTGGTTGGGCAGGCGGATGCAGGTGGCGAGGACGTCCCTCACGAGCACGTCGGTCAGGCAGGTGTAGGCCTGTTTGGGGGGGGAGTGGGGGGTTGAGGGGTAGGAGGGGTTCGTAGTTGAGGGATGGCAGAGGGAGGGCAAGAGCGGTGTTGGGTAATGGGAGAGAGGGAGGAGCGGGGACGACGGCACATACCAGTGTAAAGCATGCGGCCGGTGTTCTGCAACGCAGGGGGCGACGTGCGCCCGTGTGGGCCCCGCAGGACGCGGCAGCCCCGCGCCGCCTGGCTGGCGATTGCAGGGCCGTGCGCCCGAAAGGCGCGCCCACGGCCCCGCCTGCGGCGCGCCCGCGCTCGCGGGCGCGGCCGCGCCCTCCGCCCTCCCTCCCCTGTGCACGCACCTGCAGGATGTTTGGGTGGCTGAGGGCCGACAGGATGGCTATCTCATGCGCGTTCTTCATCACGCTGCGCTCGTTGCCGGGCTCCCCCGACGCGACCACCTTGACGGCCACGACCTGGCCGCGCCACAGGCCGCGGAACACCCGCGCAAAGCCGCCCTCGCCGATCTGGGCGGTGAGCTGGAGGTCCCGCAGGTTGCCGCCCTGATGGGTGAATTCAAGCGGTGGGAAAATGGACGTGACAGCAGGACCGCGATTGATGTGGGTTCCGGGTGAGGGAGCCGCTGGCCAGCACGGGCTGGCCGGCGGTGGGAGCACTAGCGGCTGGGCGAGGTAAGCGCCGCACGCCTGTTCGGCTGGGTGCGCGCGCACGGCCGAACAGGCCCTGCTCCGCCCGCCTGTGGTGGGAAACGGGCGGTCATGGATGCACACTGCACGCCGACCCTGGTGCCGTGCACGCCCGGGCCCGGCGCGCACGCCCGGGCCACTGCATCAAAGGGTGGCACGCACACCCCTGTGACTTCAGCCCGCAACTGCCCACACGGCAAGCAGACCCACCAGTGTCACGCACACGCCTGCCCCGCTCACCTACTCGTTGTCTCTCTCTTACACACACACACACGTACACGTACACACACACACACACACATAAACACTCGTATTCGTACGCACACGCACGCGCACACGATCAAATCCACTCACAAATCGCAGCGGACGACAACACATCACATGCAGCGCGCCCACACCCACCTCTGTGTCCTGCATCGCCGCCTCCAGCCGCCGCTGGTTCAGCTTCTCCGTTAGGCCCGTCACCAGGGCCCCTGTACTGCTGGCCATCTGGCGCGCCGTGAAGCTGCGCCCGTTGGCCACGCCTGCGCGTACGATGGCGCGCGTGCACGCGCGCGCATGAGCACATGCACGGCCCCCCCAGAGCTGCTGCCGCCTGGCGGAGGCTCAACCAGTATCGCGCCCGCAGGTGGGCTTCGTACTCGCATCCAGCGAACGCTGTTTGATTGACCTGAACCGCCACCCAAACAGACGCGCGGCCGCGCACCTCCCGAGAAGCTGCCGCCCGTGGAGATCAAGCTGCCGCCCATGGTGCTGACCGTGCTGCCCAGCTCAAAAACCTCGCTCCTGTGCCCAGCCAGCGCCCGCGGCGCCCCGGCCGGCACAAACCCGCTGCCGCTATGCACCGGCGTCCCCGCCGCGCCGTTGCCGCCTGTGGGGCCCTGTGCGCCCGCCTGGCCCGCCTGCGACGGCGAGGAGCCGCCGCCGCCGGGCGCGGCGCCGCCGCTGCTGGCGCCGCCGCCCTGCGTGCCGGAGCCAAGGGGGCCGCTGTGCGAGCCCTCGGTCCGGTCCGGCGACATCAGCCCGTCCTCTGACAGCTGCTGCACCGCCTGCGGTACGCGAGCGTCCAGGTAGTGTGCGCTCCAGCAAAGGGTGCGGAGCCGCGCCAGGTGCCGCCGGCGAGCCGAGTCCCCCGCCCCAAGCTTGAACGCAGCGACCGCCGCCCCGGGCCGCCGCCCGCCGTCCTGCGGGCCGCAGAGCCCCCCTTGGACCCCTCCCCAAGCCCGGTGCTGCCGTGCGCCCTGACTGCGCGGCCCACCCTCGCGGGCGAGCCCCCCGCACCTCGTACTCCTGCTTGAGCTCCCCCAGCAAGCAGCGCATGAGGCCGCCGCCCACCAGATCAGCCACCTCCTTCAGGTACCCGGAAACTTCCGAGAACTCGGTCTGCGCGGATAACAGCAAAGGCACAGTCGGCGTGGATCACAGCAAGCGCGATCCAGGCAAGCGCTGCGGCTGGGACGAGGCGGCCGGGGCGCGGAGAGGCGCTGCCGTGCGCGCCGCAGGCCGGGCTTGTCGCTGAGGGCTGGCGCCCCGCAAGAGGGGCGGCCGCATGGGATAGCAAAGCGCGGCGAGTGCGAGGGCGCGGGATCAGTGGCGCCGAATCCCCCCCCCTCGGCCACCCGACCTGCACGTCGCTGAGGCAGTAGAGCGCGCCGTAGATCCCGGCGCCGCTCGCGCGCAGCGGCAGCAGCAGCACACTGGTGGGGGGCCGCACGTGGCGGCTGGCGAAGAGGTCGGTGTTTACCGCGCCCAGCTGGTTGATCAGCTTCTGGACGTCGGGGATCAGCACCTGGCAGATATTTATAGCAGATTCCAATCGGCAGATACTTTTACCACGCAGAAGGCAACCAGGAGACGAGGCTCAAGCATATGGATGGCAAGGTGCAGCGCCAAGGCGTCAGACTTGCACTGCTTGCGGCCGGCTAGGCCGCCCATCCTGGCGGCCCCGCACAGCAGTGAGAACGGCGGTTTGGGTGCCTTGCACGCCGCCGCACCTGCTTCTTGTTTGCGAGCGCGATCCGCAGGATGGTGCTTTTCATGGGGATGTTGGTGCGCAGCAGCCCGCCGGCCGCCTGGATGCGCTGCACCAGCGTGAAGCTGCCGCTGAAGCTGCTCGTCGCCGCCGGCCGCTTGTGGCCGCGCACGGCCGCGGACTGCGGGGGCGAGGGTGGGCGCGGGCGGCGGGCGTTGGTGCCGCACGGTAAGAGCACGGCCGGACCGGCATGGGCGCCCCTGCCTGTGCCGGCACCTAGTGAAGCGCGCGGCCGCGTTTGTTCCGGCGCAGCCGCCCTGCGCTGCGTGGGCTGGTGGGTGTGGCCGTCCAAACGTGGCAGTCAGCCACCCAGGCACAACATTCGGCGGTTACCCCGAGTCATTTCCAAGCCACACCTGCGTGAGGTCGTCAAACAGCATTGCCGCGCTCTTGTCTGAGCTGATCAGCGCCATGCGCAGCCAGAGGTGGCTCCCGCCGCCGCCGCCGCCGGGGCCGCGGCCCTTGAGCACCGCGCGGCTCTGCTGCAGCGCCGCCTGCACCGCGCCGTCGAGCGTGCGGGTCGCCTG